AGTTCTGTGCTACCACCATGGAAGCTCCTTCTAGAGGTTCGAATAATGGTTTAGTCAGGGCCCTCTATGTGGTACGTCACATATTGGCTTCACCACACTCAGTGGAGGCATGATTTCAATTAATGCCTATATGAAGCAAAGTGCAGCTAAGTGCTCCTCTAGAGTGTTATAACACAGAACCTTTCAAGGCCTGAACAAGGAGTAATTCCAACAGACAAAAGCATGTCAAGTTTTGTAAAGCCTGTATAGGATTGTAAGAGGATCTCAATGACCGTCTCAGGGATGCCTATACTAATATGGACTCCCGCATCAACACCAGAACTTGAGGATCCTGGTGTGTCAAGGGGCCTTGTAATATGTCTGGATGTACTGGAATTTCCCTTGGAGGTTCCAGAATCATCTTATTCATCATAGGAATTAGAGTCGACACAGCCTTCTGGACCTGGTAGTTCCAAGAAATGGCCATCAGATCTATGTAGGGTATCAGACGAATCTGCGTCAACACTGAAGATACGTCAGGACATGGTTGCCAATCCACCTTGTCCACAGTTATTCGGCTCAAGCAAACAGCCATTGTATTCTGAGCCCCTGGTTGTTCTTCTGTGCCCTGATCATTATGGGCTGGAATTCCATCAATACGTATCTGTGAGACCTATCTTGATAGATATAGGATACAGTTGCATTGATATTTGAGCAAATTTGGACCCACTCGTTCTTCAGCAAGCCTCTGAAGTGAAGAAGAACCTTGAAAATGACTCTTAATTCCATACAAATGAATGGAAATATTATACAACATGGTCGAAACACTGTGCAACCAATCTTCTAAAAACTGAAATTCGAGATAATAATTGACCAATGAGGTTCTGTTCCCTGGAAACTCAGATCTAATCCCTCTTTTCAGCTACCAGGTAAGCTGTAACTCCACTGATGGGGACATAATCAGTGGCTGGCTCCAATAATCTCTCTTGTTAGACCAAGATAGGAAGGATCTGTGAGGAATCCAGAGATGCCATTGGGCCCTCTGACAAGTCTGCTGGTGGAAGCCAGGATTCCTAGTAGTTGCATCTATTTTCTTGCTGTTACCAAGCAGAAATTAAGAAACTGGGAGAGAAAACCTCCACAATCTGTGGAACTGTTCCTGAGATATGGAAAAGCAGAATTTTCCACTTGGGAATGTCAACCACTGAGCTGGTGTGAAACTGCTTTTCTTAAAATTCATCAAGCAGCCAAACTTTAAGAGTTATGAAAGAAATATATACCTCTGTGTGCCTGCCTTCTGAGGGTCTAAGGCTATCAGAAGTAGATCCTCCAGATAATGGAACCAGGTGGCGTTCTGGACTCTCAATAACACCAGAAGTACATATAAAAGATTCTTGGGGCCGCATTGAGGCCAAAAGGTAGGGCACTAACTTGGAAGTTCTCTTCTGAGCTAATGCCGAAGATCTCTGCAGATTGGACTAAAGTAAGCATCCTTGAGATATACAGAGGTAAGGAAATTATCCTTCCAGATTGCTTGAGATATGGATCTGTTTGACTCCATCCTGAAGACTCTGACATTGAGCCTCTTGTTAGCCCCTCTTCGGTCCAGTGTAGGCTTCCATGTGCTTTTCCTCTTAGCACCAGAAGAGAGGCGAAACTTGTCCCTGGAACTGCTCTTGTTCTGGGACCTAAAAAAAAATCACCTCTTCATCCAGAAGGCTTCTTCCTTCATTGCTTTACCTTTTGATTCATTGGTCTTAATACTCCTGTTGGTATGGAGACTCCTGTGCCTTTAGAAAAAAACTCCAGTCTATATCAATCTGGACTATGGATACCACTCAAGCCTCCAGAGTATTACAAGCCCAGGTATGTGTGATCAGAAAAATGAGGCTCCTAGTACTGGAGGAGACATGTTCATTGCTAAAGAGAAAAACGACTGCTTAATAGCTCCATTAGAACCTTGAAAGGCAGGTTTACCAGCTGCCATGAGTTACCTCTGGAGTATTCCCTGCAGGGTCAGTAGCTCCATGTATATCAGAAATACTGGTCACTGGAGGTTCTCCGATCAGACTATGAGGAGCTGGGATCCTTGGAACTTCCGTCCTGAGGTACAAATATCTTGCAGCCCTCATTCGCCTTTTCAGTGGATTTATCCAAAGTTTTCCCAAAAAGCACCACCCCTTCAAATAGAATGGTGTAGAGGGCAGACTTGGAGGATGAGTCATCATCCCAGAAACAGAACCATAATGCTTCCTTAACAGCTATAAATAAAGCCATTTGATCCAGAGAATATAAAGCCATTTGATCCAGAGAATATTACATCTAGGGAAGTTTCTGTGAAGAAGTCAGTTGTAACCTGAAGACTTCAGACTGCATCTTCAGTCTTGGCTTTTAATAGCTCTCTCCATAGTAGCCTTTAGATCTTTAATCACATATTTCATGTTTGTAGAAACAGCAGCAGAAGTCACAGCTGGCTGGCCTCCTGCAATGGTAGGCGTAAAATTTTGGACAGGTCTGCTTCCACCTATTATCCATAAGTTTGCAACTTAGGTGGTGTAGATCTAAGGTTGGAAATAACTTCCACCACAGGGTAAAGCCTGGCCTCTTTTCTTACCCCTAGGCCTCTGGAACTTACTTTGTAAGCCCTGCCCACATGTCATGTGGCTGCACAGTGATAGGTTATGCTGAAGCGACAACCTTCTGGAGGCAGTCAGTGCATAACCGATGCTTTCCACTGTTTTCTCCTCATAACCAGATCCTGGTGAAGAATCAGACATCTGACAAATAATAACTAAATATTACCTGTGGTAAAGTATTAAGTAAAAAAGTGCACTGTTAAATTCTATAAGAAACCAGTGAAACAGCTTTAAAACAGGCTGAAGACAGCACTTATCCATGTCTGGAGACCTTGCAAATACTTACCAAATAAGTGTGGTATGTTTACTGTAATTTTCCCTTTATTTCAGGAACTTTCTGGCAATTGCCCTTATCCACGATGGCTGCCACAACTTGTATTCCCACAATGCAATTCATCTGTACTAGGCCCATTAAGGCACGAATTGCACACATGTGGGCCTATTCTGAGTGGATTTGCTATTTAGAGACCAGGGAGAGGACTGTCTGAAGCCTACATGGCCCCTAAACACCCAGGGAACTGGGAATAAATCACTGGGACCGAGAGGAAGCAAAATAGATAACAAAAGTGCCTGCAAGGAAGTTTAAAAGGCAACCAGGTGCAAAAAGTCAAAGTTTAAAGGCACCACAGTCTAAAGGCCTCAAGGTATAAAAGGTAACACAGTTTTCAAATGTATCACAGTTTCCGAAATGTATCACGGCTTTTAAAATATCAGTTTTCAAACGCACTGCAGTCTTCAAAAGCGTTGCAGTCTTCAAAAGTACTGCAGTCTTCTAATGACTTGCGGTATTACATGCAACAGAATTAAATGCAAATTTAAGTGAAACAGTTTTAAATGCCACACAGCTTAAATGCTTCCTAGTAAACGCACAACCGCATAATGTACCACAATCTTAAAAATAAGGTACAGCTGTATATTGCACTAGTTTAAAGATATCAATAAATGCATCACAGCATAAAAGCACAATTGCATAATGTACTACAGTAAAACAGGCAAATAAAGTAATGACAAAAAAAAATACATATCCGTAAGTAAAGGGAGCAAATTGCTCACGTCCTATGGGCTGTAGGACAGGAAAAAGACTGAGGACCTTAGGTTTGGAGCCTCCTTTTAAAACCTTGGTGGTTTTCCTGTCCTATCGGCTGTAAGGGGAGGAGCTAACCCATGTGTATATGCTGCCATGATTAGCCAGAAAATTATATATTTTTTATATATAATATATAATCGTATTTTTCGCTCCATAAGACGCACCTCACCATAAGACGCACCTAGTTTTTAGAGGAGGAAACCCAGGAAAAAAATATTCTGAACAAACTGTTCCATAGTGTTTCTTACTATGGGACAGTTTGTTCAGAATATTTTTTTTTTCTCCCCTGTCCCATAATGATCTTTAATCCCCCTTTCCTCTGTCCCATAGTGATTGTTAACCCCTCCTACCCTGTCCCATAATGATTGTTAACCCCTCCTACCCTGTCCCATAGTGTTCTTTAACCTCCTCCCCTTGTCCATTAGTGTTCTGATCCCATAGTGTCCCCCCCTCCCATTGTCCCATAGTGCACTTTCCCTCCCATAGTGTCCCCCCCTTGTCCCATAGTGTCCCCTCCCCTTGTCCCATAGTGTCCCCCCTCCCCTTGTCCCATAGTGTCCCCCCTCCCCTTGTCCCATAGTGTCTCCCCCCTCCCCTTGTCCCATAGTGTCTCCCCTCCCTTTCTCCCATAGTGTCCCCCTCCCCTTGTCCCATAGTGTCTCCTCCCCTCCCCTTGTCCCATAGTGTCTCCCCCTCCCCTTGTCCCATAATTACTTACCTGTCTTGGAGCGTGGGCCGGCTTCACAGCGCGCTCCGCGGTCCAGGAACTTCTATTTCAGGTTCCGGTTTCCGGCGGGACTGAAAGGAAGTGTGCATTTTTCGCTCCATAAGACGCACTTTTTTTCCCCTCAAAAGTGAGGGGAAATGTCTGTGCATCTTATGGAGCGAATGTGAAGATTTACTTACCTGTCTTGGAGCCTGGGCCAGCTTCACAGCGCGCTCAGCGGTCCAGGAACTTCTATTTCAGGTTCCGGTTTCCGGCGGGACTGTGCACTTCCTTTCAGCCCGCCGGAAACCGGAACCTGAAATAGAAGTTCCTGGACCGCGGAGCGCGCTCTGAAGCCGGCCCACGCTCCAAGACAGGTAAGTAATTATGGGACAAGGGGGGGGAGTCATTATGGGAGAAAGGGAGGGGGAGACACTATGGGACAAGGGGAGGGGGAGACACTATGGGACAACGGGAGGGGGAGACACTATGGGACAGGGGGAGGGGGAGACACTATGGGAGGGAAAGTGCACTAATGGACAAGGGGAGGAGGGGTTAAAGAACACTATGGGACAGGGTAGCAGGGGTTAATCACTATGGGACAGAGGAAAGAGGGGTTAAAGATCATTATGGGACAGGGGAGATAAAAAATATTCTGAACAAACTGTTCCATAGTGTTTCTTACTATGGGACAGTTTGTTCAGAATTTTTTTTTCTCCCCTGTCCCATAATGATCTTTAACCCCCCTTTCCCCTGTCCCATAGTGATTGTTAACCCCTCCTCCCCTGTCCCATAGTGATTGTTAACCCCTCCTACCCTGTCCCATAGTGTTCTTTAACCCCTCCTCCCCTTGTCCATTAGTGTTCTGATCCCATAGTGTCCCCCCCGCCCATTGTCCCATAGTGCACTTTCCCTCCCATAGTGTCCCCCCCTGCCCTTGTCCCATAGTGTCTCCCCCTCCCCTTGTCCCATAGTGTCCCCCCTCCCCTTGTCCCATAGTGTCTCCCCCTCCCCTTGTCCCATAGTGTCTCCCCTCCCTTTCTCCCATAGTGTCCCCCTCCCTTTGTCCCATAGTGTCTCCTCCCCTCCCCTTGTCCCATAGTGTCTCCCCCTCCCCTTGTCCCATAATTACTTACCTGTCTTGGAGCGTGGGCCGGCTTCACAGCGCGCTCCGCGGTCCAGGAACTTCTATTTCAGGTTCCGGTTTCCGGCGGGACTGAAAGGAAGTGTGCACACTGTGCACTTCCTTTCAGCCTGCCTGAAACCGGAACCTGAAATAGAAGTTCCTGGACCGCGGAGCGCGCTGTGAAGCCGGCCCATGCTCCAAGACAGGTAAGTAAATCTTCACATTCGCTCCATAAGACGCACAGACATTTCCCCTCACTTTTGAGGGGGAAAAAAGTGCGTCTTATGGAGCGAAAAATACGGTATATATGACCCCACAAGCAGACCAGCTCTACTCACAAAACCCCACAAGCACACACATCACATGCAACATCCCCACATATGCGAAATCCCACAAGTAGCTGCCAAACAAATCCAACACTATACAAATCTGTGCTAGGGCAAAAAGGAGAGAAGGGCTTGCAAGTATTTCATGCAAGACATCTGCAGCTTTTTATTTTCAATTTGACAATTTTTATTTTGTAAACCTTAACTGGGGATACAGAAGAGAAGGGATGAAGAGTTAAGCATTCAATGTACAGGTAAGTGTACATTAGTAACACATTCCAATGGTACAGTTATTCCGATGGTATTCTCTCTATGGTCTGTGCCCTTTTTGTCTTACTGGTTGTGATTGTGTTTGGCTTCACTTAGTCTTTCTGTAATGCTTTTAGTAAGAGGATATTGGGGGAGTACTGAGGATACCCTGAGGCCAAGTAGGGGTATGGTTCTAATTTACTTCCTCTGTCTATTATGTTCCCTTCCCTGTTGTCCCCTTCACTGTAAATATTCTCCACGGGTGTCTCCCGCTCTGGAGTCCTCTCCTCCAACCTCTCTGTGGCTGGGGGGGGGAGATGAGACTTCGTCATTCTGTAAGCCCGCCTGCGTTTTTTTATGTAATTCTATAATGACATAAATAGCAGGGCACATTCTGGGTACAGTTTAGCTGTTTTGTGCATCACTCCCTGTACTATCTTTTCCACTACCCTCCAGCAGTCCCTAATTATTGGACATGTCCACCATATGTGAAGCATTGTGCCCTCAGCCTTTAAGCGTCTCCAACATGTCCCTGAGGTGTTTGGATATATGGTTGCTAATCTGGAAGGCACCAGGTACCACCTATATTATATCTTTCTCATGAGCACCAGGTGGGTTGCAAATCGAGATCTGCTTTTGTGTGCTGTGAAAGCCTGTCTCCACTGATCCTCAGGGAAGATTCTGCCTATGTCCCTGTGCCACGCTACTTGGAAGTTATCCCTCTGTGTTTCATGTGGATCATTGAGTATTGAGTACATAATTGAGAATGCCTTCTTGGGCATTGTCCTGGATTCGCAAATTCTTTCTATGCTTTGTGTGTTGAGCTATTTAAAGTGATAGATTGGGACATTATCCCCTTTAGTTGTAAGTATGAGAAAATCGCTCTTTGCGGTAGGCTGTAGCTGTGTTGCAGGTCTGGGAACTGCCTCATCCCCCTCTGGTTGTAAAGGTTTTTGAGTATTGTGCACCCTCCCTCGATCCATGGGCGGTGGTCAAAGGAGGGGTTGGCTATGTGTATGCTGTAAATGGGAGTGGCCCCTGACCAGTCGTTTTTGAATCCCAATTGGGGTGGGGTCATGTCCCAGTTTTTTAAACAGGATTTCTGTGGTAGCTGGTATGTCCTGATTTTTTGGGCGGTGCTTGTGTGGTACCCATAGTAGGTACTTTAGGCCTCTTGGACATACCCAGGTCGATTCCATCTCCACCCATTGTGATTGGTTATGGGCTGTATATGCTTGTAGCGCTGTCGCTAGTAGTGCTGCCCTATAATATGTTTGAATCTCTGGCAGGCCGAGTCCTCCCTGTGACAGATTTAGTGAGGACCTTCGTAGCTACCCTAATTTTCTTATATGCCCATACGAAGGTGTTTATGGTTTTTTGTAGTAGTTTCAGGTATGTGTTAGGTACATGTATCTGTAATGTTCTGGTCAGGTACTGAAATTTCAGCAGTATCATCATCTTCACGGCTGCCAGTCTCCCCACCCATGACATGAATTTATCATCCCACTTCTTCAGGGTATCCCTGATTTCCTCCAATAGATTCCCATAATTGAGGCCCAGGAGCCTCCCTGGGTCTTTCGGGATTTTCAGTCCTAGGAATGTGAGGTGATCCTCCCTCCAGTCCAATGAGAAGGATCTCTGTAGCCTTTCTACTGTGTGTTTTGGTACCCCTACCCCCATCGCCTGGGATTTCGTGACCTTGAGCTTGTAGTACGATTGCTCTCCGTACATTTGTATTTCCTTTAAGAGGTTTGGTAACGATATCTGTGGTTGTGAGAGTAGTATGTCATCTGCAAACAGGTTAGCTTTATGTTTCTTTTCCCCCACTTGTATGCCATGTGTTTGGTCTTACTCTAACCGCCAGTGGCTCCAGCGCCAGAACGTAGAGCAGGGGCGACAGGGGGCATCCTTGCCTCGTGCCGTTTGTGAGCCAAAATGGCTCGGACAGGAATCCCGAGTTCATGACCCTCGCCGAAGGCGCGCTGTACAGCGCTTCCACTATGGACACACATCCCGGGGGGATTTCGAATCTGACCAGCACTTCCCTTAGGAACCCCCAATGTAAGTGGTCAAAAGCTTTTTCTGCGCCTAGGGAAACAAATAATCCAGCTTTCGATTTTTCAGGTGGTAAAGGAGATTGATGACTAGTGTTGTCCGATCCCTGTCTTCCCTTTATGAATCCCACCTGGTCACTGTGTATGATGTGGGGTAGTATGGTTCCTAGTCTATTTGCATATAGTTTAGCGAAGAGTTTTGCATCCGTGTTTAAAAGGAAGATGGGCCGGAAATTTTGTGGTGTGATAGGTGGTTTATTGGGCTTCGGTAGTGTGACAATGTGTGCGACTAGTGTTTCTTTAGGAAGCTCCCCTTTTTGAGCCGCTTCCGCGAACATTCTGGCTAAGTACGGAACTAGAGTTGCGCTAAATTTCTTGTAATAGTGGTGGTCGAACCCGTCTGGCCCTGGTGATTTCCCCATTGGGAGGTCTCTGATTAACTCCCTCAGTTCCTGGTCGTCTATTGGTTTTATTAGCTCCTTCTGTTGTAGGGGTGTGATCTTAGGGAGCCGTACTCCATCTAGGTAATTCCCTATACTGAGAGCTGTTGGTTGTTTGAATTGTTTATCTTCCTTTATATTGTATAAGGACGAATAGTATTGTGCAAACACATCACTAATGCCTTTGGGGGTGGATATTTTGGTTCGCTTTTAGTCTATAAGGTGGGATATTTTCTGTTTCGCGTGTCTGGCTTTCAACCTCTGTGCTAGCAGTTTGCCCGCTTTATTCCCTTGCACGTAGTGGTTGATTTTAAGCCTCTGCATGTTTGCGCTAAGTTTATCTAGTGCTTTTTTGTGTATGAGTTTCGTGATCTTCTTGTAATCGGATAAATACAGAATATATGAGGGTATGGAAATTTCTCATTCATTTCACTTCTTTGCTCGGCCAATTTGTCCATATTGCAATTTGTTCATTAATATTTTGTACAAATGATTTAAATTCGTACAAATTTACATTAGATTGAAAATTTATGCCCAGGTCAATTACAGGTCTATTTAAGTAATTTATTTTGAAACTAGAAATTTCAACTCCTGTAAAATAAGAGGACAAATGGAAAGAAAGATAATGTGAACAAATAGTACAAATCCACCACACCCTAAGGCACTCTCAGTCAATTCTCAACGACACCTCTCAGGAATACAGAGCACTTTTTTTCTTGAAATAGCTCAAAATTTCATGTAGGTATGATATGGTTATCTCAAAACAAGATAATGTCAAGGAAGGAGCAATACATATGTCTATAAATGTAATGAGCTCACATGTATATTGATTTATATTCATTTGTTCAATTATAATTACTATTACATGTAACTATTTATTTTTTGCTCTGTTAGCAAGACCTTCAGCCTATTACTTGTGGTAGGATTATACTTGTGTTAAACCTGTTGCTGCTTCTTTTTACACTGACGACTTACTTTATAGTATTAATTTATATTGTGTATAATGCCTATTTATAAGCCTTAATTCCTCCTTCCACGTTTTTATAAGCAATAATTAGTTAGCTCAAAAAAAAAAAAATGAAAGAGGATAATGAGAATTACAAATTATTTTCCATGGCATTTCTCTTAAAGGGTTACTCTAACCAAAAACAGTGTTTTAATGGATCACTATATATAGCTATAGTAACCTTTACAACCATGTTCTCCTTCTATATATATAAAAAAAATTAAACTCACCTGTAACCCCACACTGAAGTCAAGTTCTCCTTGCAGTCCAATCCATTTCTAGTGATGCTACTAGCCCTTGCTGCAGGGTTCTGAAAACTCTGACCCTCCTTATTCTTTAAATAAAATAGGTAGTCTGAGAATCATAACAAGAGAGAAGAGTAAGCGCTCAGTAACAACTAGGGCAGCATCCCTGAAAAGGGAATCCCTCAAAAACCCTTAAAATACAATAGGAATTATAAAAGAGAGGTAAGGGCTGCACCAAAGGCCTTATAACATTGGATAATCAGGATTTGAAAATAGTCTGGAACAATATCCTCGCGGTCCTTGTCTGGGCAGATCCACTCATATGAAAAGACAAAGCATATAGAGAACCAAATAGAGAGCCAATCGTGTCAGGTATAGGCTCCCTCCTCTGTAACCTTTCACAATATATAGACACCCTCCTCCAACCCTCTGTAAAACTAATTAAGTCTTATCTTCAAGATTCCATGTCATTATTAAAGATTTAAATAATTTGAAATGGAAACCCAATTTTATATTAGTAACCTGTGATGCTCAGTCACTTTATACTATTATACCTCACAACATAGGATGCCAAGCCATTAAAGGTATTTTAACTAAAGAAAAAAAATTGCCGATATACAAATTGATTTTGTATTAGAAGGCATAAATATTATTTTACATAACAATTATTTTTGGTTT